TCCCAAGTAACAAGCGATAGGACGAGAGGAAATGGCCTCAAGCTGCGCCAGGGGAGGTTTAGATTGGATATTAGGAAATTAGAAAAAACACTGAAAGGGTTATCAAGCCTTGGAACAGGCTGCCCAGGGAAGTGGTTGAGTCCACCATCCCTGGAAGTATTTAAAAGATGTGTAGATGTGATGCTTAGGAACGTGGTTTAGTGGTGGACTTGGCAGTGCTAGGTTAACGGTTGGACTCGGTGATCTTAAAGGTCTTTTCTAACCTAAACGATTCTATGATTCTATGAATCTAAGATTAAAATAAAAACAATTATATTAGCTGAAGAGAAACTAAAGGGAGTCTTTATGAGATTGACTATGATTTTGGCTGTGTGAAGAGTCTTGGGAAGAAATTTTCACTAATGTCTGAATAGGCTTATGAATTATATTCCGCCATTTGCAGGTATAGAAAGCCATCCATGCAAAAGCATTTGGAAAGGGAGATGTGACCTAGTTTGTTCTAATACTGACTGCAGCTGTTCTCTTCTTGTGAAATCCCGATTTTTTTCTGGTGTTAGGTAATTGGAAAAAGGATTTTTGTTCTTTCATTCCCATCAACATGCCCTGAAAAACAACTGCCAAGAATGAGGTGCTGGTTCCACCAAGTTTTTCTGTTCTCTTGGGGAAGGGCTTTTGGCAACATCTGTACCACGACCTGACAACATCTATTAGGCAGCATGCATGTAGCAGAATATATTTCTGGTCTACCGTAAACCTTTGGCATTACAGCAGAATAGGAAGAGAGTTACGTTATAGGGGCCCCATGGGATCGTTAGGTAGCCCAAAGAGCAATCTGTGAAGGACTGTGGGAAGTGAGTGCAGTTCAGGCCGATGAGATGTTTCTTTTCTGGCATTGTGTTTCCCATTGAACACAGCTACCATATGGAACCCTTTACATCTCTGTCTTTGCTACCGGTAGCAACTGTGGATGAATGGCTCTCACCTGTCAGCATTTGTTAGCTTGATCAGTTTACATGCCCCGTGGGAACTGGCGAGGGATACTGATGGGTCATTTACCCATCAGAATTAGCTGCCACCTATCCCAGACATGCTGATGGATGGATGGGAGATACCAGATGAGAAATGACAGCTTACTGCTTCAGCAATGAGAAAAGATGAAGAGCTGGAGAAAGTGGAGGCTGATGGTGGGTAGGGGAACAGGGATGGGAACATGTGGACAAAATCATCTGAAGCCATCCTTCCCTGCTTTCCTTTTACTGTCCCTGCTTTCCTCCACCCCCTATTTTGTTCTGGTTCTGCACCACTGCAGTCAACAGCAATTTTGCAGCTTTGCTAGGGCAAGGATTGAATCTTTGTCTGTCTCTTGCTTTCCATCCTTTTCATTTTTGTTTCTTCCCTTTCAGCATTTCCATACATTTGTCCATTGATCGACAGTTCAGCAAAGAGCGTAAAGAAAATATCACTCCTTACTTTTGTCTGGTGGGAAGTTCCAGCTGCTCCTCATCTCCCCAAGGCATAACACAGGTAATGTGATTTGACATGAAGGCATGCCCATGTCTTCCCGTATATTCTGAGCAGGAGGACCGATTGCTCTACTTCATGACATGGAAACGGGGAAGCGACGCTGCGCACCCAGAGTTGATGCCCGAAGCCCTGCCAGTAGGGCAG